ATTGAGGGCGAGTAATTGGCAAAATAAAACAAAATGAACTGGACTGCCGTGACACAGCCCCTTTAAATGATGGGGTAATATCTGATCACAGTATAGGTAAGGATAAGAAACGATCAGTGAAAATACTAAAGTGAATCTAGAGTTAGGCAGTTTCCTTTTTCTTAGGTATTTGATGTTCAACAGTTTAACATTAATTTTAAACAAAGGTTCGTTTGTTGTTGGTTCTCTCCTTTGCTCCCAGAGGTTTTTCTCCGGGTACTTCGGTTTTCCCTTCTCCCCAAAAACCAACATTTCAAAATCCCAATTCGACCAGGAATTAGGTAGACGAACAACCACTTTGTGGATGTGCTACCTCCAAATCTTTATTTATTTTATTATTATTTTAAAGGTTAACTTATTAAAATTAGATAACACAAAACCAGCACCCTTTCAAATGTTATGCTGGGTTATCCTGTCTTGCTGTTAACATTATCAGTATTACTCTTGCCAAATCACACATTATAAAGAATTTTCATTGAGCCTGTTTAAATTTTACAGAAATCAATTCTTGTTTGCTTACTTTACTTAGAGCGAAATGTTTTTCCTAGGTTAAGACGTTTGTCCATCCCTTTGTTCAGACTTCTCAAAAATGGTTCGCCGTTGCTTCGATGATCGAGCATGTCCTTGTCCAACTAAAGAAATCGCGGCCAATTTTAAACGAGGCATTTTTGAGGTCTGATAATGCAGGCTGTTATCATTGCAGGCCCCTGATGCTACCCGTCCCATCGATTTCAAAGAGAATAGGTTTCACATTTGGGGTGCATCAGTTGAGACGACTGATGCAGTTCTAAATCTCAAAGGAAGGCGTCACATTGGGATACAGGACTAGTACAGCATCACAGTAGTCTTTTGGCACGAGAGATTTCATAATACCATGTGTCTAGTACTTAGCATATAGTAGTTTTACGGTAGACAGGAATACCATGACTGTAATGTGGATTACAGACGGATACAACTCCAGTTTACGCACATTTTCACTTGGCATCACAGTAGCAACATTCACTTTACTGCACTAGCAATCATTTTAGCAAAGTCAATTTCCTTTTGTCAACTATGAGTATAAACGAGCTCTTATCAATTGTCAAACCTGGCGAAGAGGAAAAGGAGCCTTTAACAGACGATCAACACACCCTAAAGCGACCGCGAAAATGTCCGGGATGTAAATTGCTCCATGAAGAACACACTTTTGGCGATCCCGGTCCTTATTGCACTGGCCCTGACGATACACATCTTTCAGATGATGGAAACCTTCCTCCAGACGAGGAGAATGATCTCCGTGAACAAGTCAAGCAACTAATGCTTAAGGAAGAAGCCTTGGCGAAGAAATCTCGCATCGAAAAATTGGAACTCGAGGTAGCAGAGAGACAGTGCCGCATCGAACAGTTAACTAAATTGCAGGGTCCGACTACTCGAGAACACTCCTTATCAGCAGCACATCCAAAGGCCAAAAAGCCCGCTGCAGTGGTCGATTTTCCATCAACTTCTATGGAACACACTGGGCCAAACAGCTCCAAAGACCATGGCGCTTCTCCTACTCCACATGGGCATGACACGAAAACCCCTTCAGTACCAACATCTCTGGACTTTCTGCTCGCGGGCTATGCGGGAAATCCGTCGTCGGATTAGCAATCACTTCAATCACAACAAATTCCTGCCCAGCAAATGAACCTCAATAATGTCCTAAATCCTGATGGCCCACTTTCCGGACCTTTGGCAAGCCAGGAGTTCTCCATGTTCCTGAAGCGGCCCAACTGGCAAAGGGTGAGATAGGTTTATGAATCGTAGACTTTGTAGATAAAATTGTCACGAACACGGATGATAGAACAATCTCTGACATGGGCAACACAAAGATAGTCATCTCTTCGGGGCCTACGAACACAGTTAAAATTATGGAGCTTAGTTCCAAGTTTAGTTGGCCATCCGTACTGCGGTACGATGACGAATTTCATATTCAGGTCGTTTATTGCCAACGAAACAACCACGCTAAGAAGCGAGGTTGACTCGGCGGCAGAATTATAACGCCGTGCAATGTAGGCAAAACCTCTCAAATTCTGCGTAACCCTCTAAAATTTGCATTTTTGACCATGTTTGGGCACAGGTAACCCAGGCTCCGTGATAGTACCACAGTACGGTTCCAGTTAAATTACAGTGTTAATACTAAAGACCTTATTGCTCCAACGAAGTTTCGTGATACTTTGCAGTAATTTGTTCAAATTCACTTTTTATTATATACATACTGAGAAATACTCACCAAAAAGCTATGTTCTAAATTTTCGTCCGCAAATTAGTTCTAGCCAATCAGTGGAGCGAACGATGGTTTTCACACGTGAAAAAAATGATACATCCAATTAGAATCGCGAACGATGTTTTTTCACGTGTGAGAAAAATGATATGTCCAATCAGAAGCCACAGAGGTGTGTGAGTTTCGCGCCAAAATTCCCGCCTTTTATTGCAGCGCTGCTTCGCACACATTCAAGGAGAAAAGTTTTACTCAAAGAGTTTTTCTCGCTAAAAAAGGGAAAAACATTTCGGAAATGGAGTGGAATAGTTTCGTTTGTTTCACTGTCGATAAAGAAAACGGTAGAGAACTGGCGAAACAACAGCGGAAAGGGAAAAACAGAACGAGACGAAAGCTTTTGTTGTGCTTTTTGTCGGAGCTACTTTGCCTTTCATTTAAGCTTAAGCTAATATTGAAACCAGCCATTTTACTTAAATTCACTCATTTTCAATTGTGCATTGAGAACAAACAGTTAAGATTATTTATAGTTCTTGGATTACCTCATATCCTTACCGTCATTTATGTTTTTCACAAACGTTTTTACTAAAAAGCTGATACTTCGTTGTCGTTGTCATTTTGCGGTAAGTGTGTAGCGGCAAATTTTAGCATTTTTGAAAGATTTAAAATAAAAAGGCCGCCAAAATGATGAATGTCTTAATATGTATATAATAGACACAATACCACATGGAAAGTGCTTTGTACGGTATTTACGCACTCGTTGTTTTTGTATTAGAAATCTTACTCCTTCGCTGCGCTCACTCGTTCGATTTATGATACGTCAACAAGTCCTGCGTAAATACCGAACGCCAGCACTTTCCATGAAGTATTCTCTTTATATACAATAACAATATACAAGGTAGGAGACACGAGATGCCATTTTCGCCGACATGCTCTCATTCAACACAACTTTTTCCACGAAATTCGAACTCCAGCGGAAAATAAACATGCCAGGATCGTAGAAATAGGATAGCAGCAGATATAGAAACCAATGAAGCTTTCCCAGATAGAGAAACAAATCCCACAGACTTTGACAAACTCGAAGGATATAATCCAAACAGACCGAGAATATGCTCCCCCCGAAGCAGCCGGGCCTGATCAACGCGCGGCCAAGAAAATGAGGCCTGGGCACTGTGCAAAAAAATTCCATCCCGGGAGTCCTGGGATGACCATTCTGGGGACGGATACATCATTTGCCCAAAGCCACCCTCCCCTGCTGGAAAAATACTTGATAGAAGGCAATTTTTCTTCCTAGCCAATCACAATTCGCCACAGCAAACCCCGCACACGCGCCTAAATTTAAATGGCTACAACAAATAAATAAAACCAGGATAGTCTGCCGAGTTACAAGGCGCCCCATTTTGATAGAAATGCCCCTATCAAGGAAGAAACGTCCTTTTCCAGCTGGAGACTTAAAACCTGGTCCTGTCAAAGAAAAAAAGTCCAAACTTCTATTGCTCTTTGAAAGCTTGTTAAATAAACCGGGGTTCCCTTTCGCAGCCTTCGGAGATGGTCATATACATTCAGCAGAGTGAGACCAAAATAAAAGGAGTGAGAAAAGCGATACAGTATTGCTCGACAAAATCAAAGAAAGAGTTCTACATGAAGATTTTGACGGGACTTCAGAGTCGTCTGTAAGTATTGTTACTCATATGTCAGCCGAGCAATCGCGGAACTATTCGAAAGGAAGAGGGTCAGAAAGCACTTCAAGATGGGTGATAAAAAGACGCGTACTAGGGTATTTCAGGGCCTCAGATAAAGAACTGAAACTCTGACACAAACGAAAGCCAACACTTGGAGCCATATCTACACAAATGCTCAGCAGATCGCCAAACCGGATGGTGTGTTGTCAAGCATACGCCAAACTCGATGAGCTTCGTTCACGTTGAAAACGTCCGCTTTGATAATCAGAATGTGATTACTGACATTAACCTGCGCAACGAATCAGGCAAAATCACCACCAACACCAGTTACCAGAAGCGGCAAATGCCCAAGGGGGATATCGATTCCACAGAGAAAACATTTCACTCAGAGTCCATAGAGGCCACAATAAAACGTTGGATGGACTACATTGATAGTAGTTATGTATGCCAGGGTTTCCTAGTGAAAGACACAGACAACGTTTATGGGGACCCAGTATCAAAACACTCTATTACATATACTGAAGATGGTATTAAAGAAACAGAGATGAGAGGATTCTCTTCACACTGTGAAGTCCTGTCCAACAGTGAAGGGGAATGCTGTTCCATGTGCAGCAAAACTAAAGATAATCTGAGAAGAAAACACTTTCGTCTGGAAGAATACAAGGATAGACCCTTATTCCACAGAGATGCAACCACAAGTACATGTCAAGGGAGCAGCTCCTCTTTTAAGTGGAAAATCTACAGAAACTGGGAACAGCAGAGAATAAGAAGAGAAACAAAATTCAGAGCGAGATGCTAGAGGTAGACGTGCAGGACCTTGACGACTTGTATAGCATTCTGAAAAATGTTGACAAGAACGACGTCCCTGTTTTGTCACGATGGTTCACATATTTAACCGATAGAACGTTCAGTTGTATTGACAAGAAGTCGGCGTGTTACAGCGCAATTAATCGCTAAATATGTTAATCGCGCTAGTTCTTTGTTTACTGGTGCACATGCCTTTCACATTCGTTTCAGTTATCGCAATTCATATTCTGCGGAATTTTCTGAATAATTTTTGACACTTTTTTGTAAGCTTCACCGTTTATTTACGATCGTTTCGCTCGAGAGTCCACAGCAACAGTATCTCAGTCATACATCTACCTTTTGTTCAACCTTGTTTTTAGCCCACCTTGTAAGTATTTAGCGTTGTTATTTCATAGTTTCATTACGGTTGTTTGCATTCCTTAGTAAAAGAAATGGGGCGCCTTGTATCTCGGCAGACTATCCTGGTTTTATTTATTTTTTGTAGGCATTTAAATTTAGGCGCGTGTGCGGGGTTTACTCTGGCGAATTGTGATTGGCTAGGAAGAAAAATTGCCTTCTATCAAGTATTTTTCCAGCAGGAGAGGGTGGCTTTGCGCAAATGATGTATCGGTCCCCAAAAAGGTCACCCCAGGACTAACGGGATGGAATTTTTTTGCACAGTGCGCAGGCCTCATTTTCTTGGCCGCGCGTTGATCAGGCCCGGCTGCTTCGGCGACTTATCCTCGGTCTGTTTGGATTATATCCTTCAAGTTTGTCAAAGTCTGTAGGATTCATTTTTCTATCTGGGAAAGCTCCATTGGTTTCTATATCTGCTGCTATCCTATCTCTACGATCTTGGCATGTTTATTTTTCGTTGGAGTTCGAATTTCGTGGAAAAAGTTGTGTTGAATGAGAGCATGTCGGCGAAAATGGCATCTCGTGTCTCCTACCTTGTATATTGTTATTGTATATAGAGTGAATTTGAACAAATTACTGCAAAGTATCACTGCAGAGTAAGTTTCATTGATCCTTATTTAGTATTACCTAGAAATTTTAGGATGGTGTTTTTACCCCATACAAACACTGTAATTTTACTGGACCCGTACTGTGGTACTATCACAGAGCCTGGGTTACCTGTGGTTTGGGTGTAAGTAAGACCTCATATTTGGGTAGTGACGTCATGGTCTTGTATTTACAACTCGTGGTCCACGATCGGGTGATTCGGTGTGCAGCTGTTCGTTGTCTGTTCAAGAGGGCCTAACTGGTGAGCAAGGTTTAATACGATTTCTAGTTTGAAAGGGCAATTAGTGCTCTGGTTTGCTTTATAAATTGTGTTTAACGCAGTTGCTGATCATGGAATAGGGTTTTACGCTCAAATTTTTGTCAGAACTAGCTTGTTCTTTGCAGCTCTATTTATATTGAGGTAGCGTGTTCGCTTCTCGACTCAGAACGAGGGTTTTCAGTGTTCATTTTTCATTTGTGACCTGAATTTTAAGTGGCAGTTGATCAAGGCAAAGGGTTATATTCTCAAAACCTATATCAGAACCAGCGTGTTCTTCGCCGGTCGATTTACATTGAGCCAGTCGTCACCTCCCGTGAGGAATGCAACGTATTTGCGGACCTTTTTTTAAAATGTATTTGTTTTTCGAGAGATTTTGTCTACCAGCATGTTTTTTTGCTGCTCGATTTACATTGAAACAGCCCAAAACTCCCGTGAGGAATGCAACGAAATTGCGGACCTTTTGTTTTTCAGACTATCATTATGCCTTTTAATAGGCTCTTTGTCCTGTGACACTCGCTCATTACATCTCCGTATTTTATTCAACTTTATATTTTTATACCTCTAATACATTCCGCCCCATCCTTGCGCGCTTTTCACACATTTTAGGTTACACCAATTGTTTTCTTATGTATATTACCACACAAAATATTTTTCTTATCCATGATGACGCTGTTGCTCGGAATTTAATGTCAGCAGTCAAAGGCCTCATTTGAACTATATTTTTCTTTCTCACGTTTATAGCTTTGATACAATGGAATTTTCCATGAAACATAAGTGCTAACTTGCTCATATTTACCAACAAAGCTTTATTGTTTAATAAAAGTGAAAGCCTAGAATGTGCCAAAGTTGTTGTTTTGAAGTTGGGTGCCATCCTTTTTTACAGCGGAATCCATTTTAAACCTCTAAAATTCTGAAAGAAGATCTAAATAGGCACATTCCACAAAAGATAAACGAATTCGTCTCGTTGGCACTTGCCGGAAGGTACCCCGAGTAATTATCTGTGGAGCTTCGACTTCCACCATCTCCACACTGTAATTCTGGAGTCTAAACGATATGCAGTGGGAAATTCTTCCTTGGGATCTGCCCTGGCAAACTCTAGTCCAGATGGCAGGGTAATATGTAGGAATTTTATTCGGGTGAAGGGCTGTTCTCTTGCAGACTACCATTTTGCCCATGTTTGCAATCGTCAGGTAAATGGCAGAACATGCAGGCTTGCGCACCCCTCTCATGGTCATCCCGGGGTTAGCGGCTCGGTCCAGGGACAGGGGGGTCCAGCTACATCTAGCTGACTTCCACTGGCCTCCCCACTTAACACTGACCTCTGGCTGGCAGAACTAATTGGCGATGAGGATGAGGCACTCCTCATAGATTTTGCATGGCTTTAAGTTGGCACCGGCAGATTGCATTTTTCTACCTGCTCAACAGAATAATATTACAAATCTACAACTAGTGCAACACACAAACCCAAAGTAACTACGTAATTACTGACGTTAAACCCACTATTATCAGTGCCCTGGGAGCTATTCCCAAACCAGACTCATCAGAGGTTCGATTAATACGTGATTGCTCTTGACCTCCTGGGCGGGCCCTTAATGATTACATCAGCTGTTCATCCTTTAAATTTCAAACTTTAGAAAACGCTATAAAATGCTACAACCAAACTATTTCATGGCTAAAATCGACTTGCGGCATGCATATTGCTTTGTTCCCATTCACAAAAGCAATTACCTAGCAACTGGGCTACAGTGGTATTTTGCAGGCCATAACCATCCAGTTATTTTTTGGACACTCGGTTACCTTTTCGTGCCAAGTCTAGTGTTACTATCGCTGCGCACGTATTTCATGCCTGCAATGTAATGACGTGTTTTTGAAACCTGACTCTTTGTAAGTTTGCCATTTTGGAAGTGTGCTCGTGGAACTCAAAACAGTCGGTAAGTTTTCTGACGTGTATTTCGGCCTTTTCCTTACGAACTTTTGAACACTGAACTCATTATAAGCTTGTATTTTGATTCTAGAAAACCTAACTCATCATGCGTACGATATTTGACCTTATTTGGACCCACTTCATCGTGAATTTGTTTGAAGTTGACTCGGATCAGATCTATTTCTCTTTGGAAACATAAAATGTTTATGTAATAAAGACAGTTTAAAGGGGCTGTGTCACGGCAGTCCAGTTAATTTTGTTTAATTTTGCCAATTACTCGCCCTCAATCGCTATAGAACATAAAGCAAGCAAAGAAATTACAGGTAAATGACAAAATCAGGGATCCGAGACAAACAAATGTGTCTCCTGAGCATTATTTTTGAAGTTGCAAGCAGCAGGGATCAACTTTGAAAAACTGTTAGCCTGAACAGTTTTCAAAAACCCTTATTTCAATCCGTTTCAATCTTCTTCAGTTTTGCCCATCCGTAGCATCTGTTGTTTGTGTTATGTCATTTTAACCTTCCTTTAAAGTTTTAAGTGGTTATTTTTATGTTTCTCTTAATTTAACGGGCATTTTGTACTTTCCTAATTTGGCTGAATTTCGTGACACCGCCGCTTTAACATACGCGGAGTTTGAGTTTTCGACTTTCGTCAGCAACAGTTTTCGACTGTTTACGAGTGTTTAATGGATGAAGACGTGTGAAAGCAGTGGAAGCGTGTTCGAAGATGGCGCAGCGTGAAGTTTTGTTTGGCTCAACGCCAACCGAACGGCCTTTGATACAAGAATTGTTTACTACTAGATATGAGGATTTGGACGCTGGATTCAATGAAAGGGACTATACAACAGCATCTAAAGAAGGAGGCAGCATTGAAAATCTGCAGTTAAGCGAAACGCGTGCTTACGAGATCGATTTGGAGAGAAAAAGGGCAACTTTGTTCAACTCCCGCGCTGGACACATGGGAAATTTGACAAAGAAACGTAACAGGCTTATGGATTTGATAAAAGAAGGTGGCGCTCGCGAAGATGTATTGAACGGATGTCGTCAGTTTGATGAAGCTTGGCGTAAGTTTGAGAATGTTCATGAAAATTATTTACAGTTGTTGAGAGAATATTATGGTGGGGACGCTTGTTTGTTAGATAAGGCTGTAAAAAGTTATGATGAACAAATGGACCGAAAACGTAATCTTGATCTTTCTGTGAAGTTATGGCTGGAAAAGAGTGAATCAGGGCGAGTAGGAATTGAAGGCAATCGTGGTGTAGTTTCGGAGAAAGTAAGCAAGGATGGGCGTATTGTGGTTTCTAGAACAAGTTCGAGATTATCCTCAGTGTCTCAAAAAAGGGAGAAACTAGCTCTAGCTCAGCTAAGCCTTCACAGACTTAAACTTAAGCAATTATTGGATGAAGAAGAACGAGCTATTAGAGCAAAAAAGGAATTATTAGAAGCTGAAATGGACGCAGAAAAGGCAGCTGTATCACTTAAAATTTATGAGGATGACCTGAATGAAAGGAAAACAGACATCGATGAAGATCTTTTTCCCTATTTGTGCCCCTCTTAATTACAAGTTCCTAGCCAGAAAAGTGCAGCGCAAACTAGTGAGACCAATGTGCAACAAAGAACCCAATCAAGTTTATCTGTGACAAACCCTGCAAGCAAGAGTACTAGCCACTCCTTGCCCCCTCTTCCCCCATTCGTGCCATCATTCTTTCCTAAATGTTCTTGGGGAGGTAATGCAGTGATTGAACAGTCAAGAGATTCAGTGAGTGCAAGTCAAACTTCTCCATTAATGTTGCAAATGGAACTTCATGTAAGCCTACACATGTACAGACGGTGACTAGTCAGTGTGTTAAAGAATTTTGGTCTCCAAACTGGAAGAGTCCACTCGCCCATACGTTGCAAAGTGCTCAGCACCAACCGACAGAGACTCAGCAAAATGACGATGGTTTGGAATTGGTTAAAGCATTAAAACAGGTTGTGGTAATGCTCAAGGTAGAGTATCAGCACTTTGACGGTGACCCACTGAAGTATGTCACCTTTTTTTCACAACTTTGAGACATATTTGGAGAAGGATAACCCTGATAACTCCCGGAGATTACAATTTCTCATCCAGCACTGCACAGGTAAAGCAAGGGATGCGATTGAAAGCTGCTTTAACTTGCCTGCTAGTAAGGATTACCGAGTAGCAAAGGAAACATTGCTTGAGAACTTTGGAAAGCCACCCATAATTGCAGGGGCCCATATAAAGAAGCTGCTGAATTTACCTAACCTTAAGAATGCAGATGGAGCGTCTCTGTTGGAATTTGAAAGACAATTAGATACCGCAGACCGAACACTGACTGGAATGGGCATTGAATATGTAGCTAACCTCAACCATATGAACACATTGAGAGAACTTGCTAAGAGGCTGCCAATATTTGTTAGAGCAAAATGGACTGAATGCGCAGGGAAAATAATTGATTCAGGGCGTAGACCTAAGTTTCAGGACTTTGCTAGGTTCATAAAAGAAAGGGCGAAGTTGGTGGACAACGAGTTCGGGCAAGACATGAAAAGTGTGTTTGGAAGAGAGACTATCACGCGGAAAAAGAAAGTGAATTCTGATGGAACTTCACCACAACTGCAAACATTCGCGACTGGAAGTGGTCTGAACAGTCGTGGTCAAAGATCACAAGATCGAGAGATGTGAACCCCCAACAGCAGTTACAACCAAGTGAATCACCTGTTAGATCTCGTAATGAAACTTGGGCCGGTATTGGAAATGGAGTAGCTGTGGCTGCTACTGGAGCTGAAGAAACGCGGGTGTCTTGGAATTATACCAGTCAAAGTTTGACGTAAAGGAGGTGGTAAAGTAATTGAAACATGCCCTTCTTAGCAATGGCTCTGAAGTAACTTTGTGCCATGAACGGCTAGTGAAGGAACTTGGATTAGATGGTCAGAGATTTGAATTCACTCTGACCGGAATGACAGGCTCTGAAAAGGTGGATAGTAAATTGGTGGATCTTGTTGTGAAATCGATTGATGATTCTGTAGAAGTGGAACTATGCAGTGTGAAAACAGTTGTTAATATGCCAATTTCGACAAGTTGCATCGCAAAGAGAAAAGACGTCGTTCACTGGCCTCATTTGCGCGGCGTTTACATTCCCAGTATTGAACATGGGGAAGTTTGTCTTCTGATTGTTTTGAATGAAAGACCAACACTTTTCCTCCCGCTTGAGTTAAAGACTGGTGGAGACAATGAGCCAATAGCCATACGGTATAGTTTAGGGTGGACTGTGATGGGTCCAGTGGGTGACCAGAAAGAAGATCGTGATTGTGCAGTGAACTTTGTGTTTACGAAGGATGGTCATGTGACACAAGGAAACCTTCTGAGGGGTGTACTTTCCAGGGAACGAATCAGTGAAGAAACAAAGAAGCTGAAGAAGGATGAGACTGAAACAGCGCAGCCGTTCGAGTCCGCAGAATGTGAGCCTCGTTTCCATGTTAAGTTTGTTTAAAGTGAAGACGATTATGTACCCACAGTTCACAATTAAACTTTGGACCGCCAACTTGAAAAGCTTTGGAAGACCGATTTCAGGGACTCGGTTGTTGGGACAAGAACATTGCTATCTGTTGAGGACAATAAAGCTTTAACTAAGATAAAACAATCACTTCAAAGACGAGATGGACATTTTCAAGTTAGATTGCCGTGGCGAGAAGCCCCACCGTACTTACCCAATAACAAAGTGATGGCAGAGCAGAGACTTGATCTTTTAAGAAAACGGTTAAGTAAAGACAAAGACCTGCATGAAAAATATTGTTCTGCAATTCAAGACCACCTAACCAAGGGACATGCGGATAATGTGCCAGAGAATGAATTAGACACAAAGTAGCCAGTGTGGTACCTACCCCACCACCCTGTAACGCACCCCATGAAGCCTGGTAAAGTTAGAATTGTCTTTGATTGCGCTGCAAAGTATCATGGAATATCCTTGAATCAACAGTTGTTACAGGGTCCTGACTTCACAAATCCACTAGTAGGAGTGTTAACCAGGTTTCGGCAAGAAACAACTGCCATCGCAGCCGATATAAAAGGAATGTTCCATCAAGTTTATGTCGACCCAAAGGACTTTGATGTGTTTAGACTTCTCTGGTGGCCAGATGGTCAACTCAATGAGCAGCCGCAAGAATACAGAATGGTAAGACGCTTGGTGCTACGTCCTCGCCAAGTGTTGCTAACTTCTGTCTAAAGAAGACTGCATCGATTTATGGGACAGAATTTGATCCTGAAGTAGTCCAAAGCGTTGAAAGGAACATGTATGTGGATGATCTGATGAAGTCTGTTGATACTCCCACGACAGCAGTACGGCTTTCGACACAGTTAAGAGACTTGCTGACAAAGGGCGGATTTAGATTGACCAAGTGGTTAAGTAACGATAGAAGGGTACTAGCTGAAATCCACGAAACTGAGAGAGCAGTCTCTGTAGCAAACCTTGACCTACAAGAATTGCCAACTGAGTGTGCTCTTGGATTGAAATGGGACGTAGAAGCGGACAAGTTTATTTGGAGGGCATCAGGAAGGCTTCAGCATTCTGTGCAGAAAGGAGCGATGACGAGACGTAGGATCTTAGTAATTGTTAGCTCACTGTCTGTTTGATCCACTGGGCTTTATAGCTCCCTATACTATGAAGGCCAAACTACTGCTACAAGATCTTTGCCGCAAGAAATTAAGCTGGGACAGTCTGATTGATGAACCAGAGAAAATGCAGTGGTCGCGTTGGCTTGAAGATCTCCCGCAGTTGCAGAAAATTGACGTTGACAGATGCTTTAAACCGAAGAATTTTGGTGCAGTTAAGAGTGTTCAGCTGCATATATTCTCTGATGGATCTCGTGTGGGTTATGGAGCAGTGGCCTTTCTACCCTTTGTGAATGCCTGTGGTAGAATCCATTGTAGCTTTGTTATGGGGAAGGCAAGATTGGCGCCCATACGTGAAATCACAATACCACGATTGGCATTGACTGCAGTAGTCATATCAGCAAAGCTACGTCAGATTATACGTGAAGAGCTCCAAGATAGCTCAAGTTAATTATTGGATTGATTCTATGACCGTGCTGAAATGCATCAATAACGACACGAAGCGCTTTCATGTGTTTGAGTCAAACCGTCTTACTATCATCCAAAGCACATCGTCTCCCTCAGAGTGGAGATACGTTAGTCGAGTTGACAATCCGGCAGGCGATGCTTCAAAGAGTTTGAAGCTTGAAGAACTAACGAAGAATGGTCGGTGGCTGAATGGACCAGCCTTCCTGTGGAAAGAAGAGGCTAATAGACGGACTGCAAATATGGCGACGATTTCACCAAAGCGAGGCTTTTCGGTAGCAACTGTTGCTAGGGGCTGGTTGCCGTGTTTACCTGTGCCGTTGCTGGAAAGACTGCAGCTTCTCAGGCGTCTTTTCCTTTAAATTCAACAAAATAAGTCAATTTTCTTCGCTGAAAAAGGTTTCAATCTCGTATACACGCTTTGGATACTGTTTTTCCAGGCTAAATTGAACGATCAACTAACGCACAGCGATCACAGACAGAGTCATTTGTAGCGATCGCGATGCTTTGACTGCCTGATATTTTTCATTCATTGTATTAAAGTTCACACGTAAGCTTAAATCGATTATCATTCTAAAAGCTGATCTTCAATTTTTAGAACTGGATTGCACGCCATTTTTGCTGTACGTTTATAAATAGTGCCATGCCGGATAGTTGTTGCGTGCCTTTGTGCTGCAAGAGTGGTTATCGTGTAGGGCCGGATGGGGAAAAAATCACTTATCATTGCCTTCCATCGGATGCTGTAAGACTGAAGGTACTACTTTCAAAGTTATCGTTCATTAAACCTATCGTTTCAGATTTCTGATATTTCTCGATACGACATATATTTCAGGAGTGGCTTGTGAAAATTTGACGAGACGTATCTCCAGCATTTCAGATAACTGAACGAACTAAAATCTGCTCCTTGCATTTGAAGATAACTGATTTTCGTGTAACCTTGAATGGTCGTTGATATTTAAAGGACGATCCTATTCCCTCAATCTTTTCATGGTGGGCAGCATCTCCTAAGCTAAAATCACCACGTAAGAGGTAACCAAGCCATTCCATAGCTCATGATCAGAAGCCATCCTGCCGTAGTGAAAATGACCGCAACTCGGAAAATGATGTGGATCAAATCAGCGAGTTACATACGCACATTGCTCAACTTGAACAAGAAAAGAATATGCTCCAACTTCACAATAAACAGCTTTCGAAAACTGTCGATGAACTTCTCGCAAACCAGTTTGGAATAACAAAATTTATGGGTGAAGACTCAGACATCAACTTTTACACCGGCTTCCCAAATTATGAAACACTTCTGGCTTGCTACAGTTTCTTAATTCCAGGGGAAAATGGTGAGAACATTGTTTACATCACCAGTGCGAACGACGAGTTAGAGTTTCCGGCGTTTCCAACCAATGAGATTAACCGGGGAAATAAACCCAGCAGACGTCGGAAACTAAGTACTCTGGACGAGTTTTTTTATTATCCTTATCAGAATGAGGCTTGGATTATTTGAACTGGATTTGGCCCATAGGTTCAGGGTACATGTATCTAGAATTAACAGAATTTGTTTATCCTGGATCAATTTTCTGTACTTAAAATTCGGTCACCACAACATTTGGCCAGACAAAGAGGCAATAGATAAAGCAATGCCCAAGTCTTTCAAGGATAAGTACCCCAAAACAAGGGTTATTATTGATGGGACAGAAATCAAATGTCAAACCCCTTCCTCTTTAGTTCTGCATAATGAAACTTTCTCTACGTACAAGAGTCATACGACATTTACAGGTTTGACTCGCATTGCACCGAGTAGCCTGTTCCAGGCTCCGAGATGGTAGTGGAAAGTCGTTCAGTAAAAAGAAATGCGAAAAACGCGGGGGGCTGGGGAGAGACAGGGCGGCGGAGCCTGTACGCGTTTTTTTAACGGCCTGTTCCGGTATATCAGCTCCTGACATACCCTCTGATTGGTCAATTGTGACAGTTAACCTCATCACCT